ATTGAGAGTGGTCGTAGTGGAACAGGATTTGAGGAGGGATCGTACTGACAGCGCCATTTCGTTCACACCGGTGCTGTACATTGCCCCTGGTAGCGCTTTCACTGTGAGACTGAAACGTGACTTAAAATCGTTGTTGTGCACTCACACTTCAAGGAAAAAGTTGCAAGCTTCAGGAGTGGCAGGTTCCCAAAGCAAATGCAGATGCTAGTGGTGTCTACCCGACAAGTCTCCGGTGAATTTTGTTGTTTTCTTATTCTATACCCATTAACCCAAAATTTATTTTCTAATCGACTTACCAATATCTTCGTCGATCAACATTATCCGTACACCAGCAGCTGGTTGCTTTCCACAGACTAACCGTCCTGTGACAGCAATGGACTGATCACGAGTGGCGATGACCGTGGAGCTTACAAGAAGTAGAACAACACAGAAACAGCATCTAGACCTGTCAGCAATAAAGCGAAGTGAGTTCTTCAAGCTAGGCAAACAAAAACCGGTTCCCAAGTGAAAAAAAAACCTTGACTCGGTTCGCAGAACTCCCCGGAAAGCTTATACGAAATAAATCTAAGGGTTTGTGAAAAAATTCTGCTTGGACGTGGGGATAACTTTTGCGGTACCCATTCACATTCATTGGGATGAAGCCGCAAGCTATGTCCCTACCGCCAGGTCTGCCACCAGAGGTCTCTGCTGCATGCTGTCCGTTTTTGGCGGCTCTACTGATCATACTGATCAGTTATATCTCCAAGCTGCGCATGGGCAGAAATTGCAATGCATTTCGATCGGTGGGGGCATTCTGCTGGCTCCATTCGATCACTGCCGCTAGCACGAACTCATGTCAATCTATGCAGCAGCATGGGTTTTGTTTACACTTGTATAGAGTCTACACATCTCACCAAGATGAATTGTGTAATTCAAGAAGAAGTAGTAACAAAAATTAGCCAAAATTCAAGATGCCCCTCCCCCTCGACAGCAATGAGAGAGGATACTCTGATAGTAACGGCTAGTTTCCGTGGCCGGAGCAAGCAGGGGAATTACAGGCGATGGAGCCTGTTCTAGAGATCTATAGCCAATGTAGATTAAGAGTCAGTTATTCAAAAGCAATTTATCGATGTCATGTTTTTGTCAAGCATGTGGTCAGATTAAGAGCTCTGCTCCTGCCAAAGGTGATAGGTCCTTGGCGGCTAACAACGCAGCCTTATCTGTCGAAGGGTCGTTTCCAACGAGCTGCGGTTGGTTTAAAATACGGTTTCGGCCCAAGGTTGTCTAGGATACAGCTTTACAGAGAGGATCCGTGCCCTCCTACGGTTCAGTCTTCGAGGTCCCCGCTCGAACGGATTCGTAGGAGCCTAGTCTATGATATCTGAGCATATAGAATCAGCAGCAAGACAGGGTTTAGAGCGAATTCAAGGACTGAGTAATAAAAAAGTGCATCACAGCTTTGATAGTGATCGCAATAGTCAGCTCTTTGACGGAACCAATTGAGACGCCTGCCTCCTTTTGGAACGATTAGTCATTCAGTCATTCCTCATAAGTCATTTCTTCAGAATGCGCCGACGGTCATCATGTTGTTAGACGCTATAATACAAAAAAATGACTAACACCAACTCATAGCCAGACATTTCAAAAATTCAGTAGGATGTATCGCCGCTCATGGGCTGATGACGGAATAATAACGGTTTTTTGAAGAAGTTTCTGTGGAAAGTTAGAAATTCATCCGAGCCAAAAGTTTCGGTCTTCGAAGAACGTCTCTTACCTGAGTGGATGTGGTGTGCTGGCTCGTGGCACATTTACCACGCGCGCGGTTCTGGAGTGAGTTCCCAGATAAGCTCCTCCCGGGCCAACCAAGCCTTCTAGCCTCCGGGGACGGTAAATTGGTACCAGATTCGTCTGGGAGGATAAAACACTGACTTGTACATCGGCTGGCCACCGCAAGTCATTGTATAGGCCACATCGCATTCAATGAGCCACTGCGATTCTGAATGGAAGAAGAATGCGTGCCGCATCCAGAAGGACTGATGGACCGATTGACGACAGAAACGATCCTTCATCTTTCACCTCACTGACTCGGTTACTCTCTTCCGGCAGTCCACTAAGTTCCAAT